TGGTTACAGATGCTTTCTGTGGTGCTTCACCTTTTCTTTCACCATCTATGTTTTAAGTGTTAGTGTGGTGGATTTCTTGTGAATCTGATTTAAATAAGACGGAGAGCAGGAAGTGAACGTTGTTTTCGCTTCTTTTAGAATGACGACGAAGAGGATGAGGAGGAAGAGGTCGACGACGCAGAGGAGCTGCTGGGGAAAGGCGCGCGCAGTGCCGCTCTGCTCGCAGACAGAACCAGGGTAAGTGCGGGCGCGTGCGTCGCTCAGTGTGTGACTGGTGGGTTTTTTTGTGATTTTTGCCGCCTTGACGGAGTTTTGATAACTAAGAGTGTGAATGTCTTTGTACTCTATCAGCTACTTGGGAAGGTAAGTATTCATTGTTTTTTCCTAAAATCTCATCAGCTGAACTGGTTTAGTCTCAAAAATCCCTTTGCTGATGGGAATGAAGTTGTCATTTTTATTTGAGTGACACTTTTGTGTTTGTTTCTGTTTGTTGTCCATCCAAAGCTTTAACACATCTGTTCTCTGCATGTGTGTTGTGTTTTTCCACCTTATTTTTTAAAAATAGTTTTTAAAACAAAACGTGGTCCTGGTGTCTCCGTGTGGTCACTCAGTTGTGTCTTTTGTCAAACTTAGAACGAGATGACGGCGGAGGAGAAGAGGCGGGCTCACCAGAAGGAGTTGGCCAATCACTTGAATGAAGAAGCCAAGCGCCGTCTGACGGAGCAGAAAGGAGAGCAGCAGATCCAGAAGTGAGTCGGTACTCTCACCATCCATAATGAACTGAAGCTATCAGGTGAAGAAACGGCATGAATGTGTTAAAGAGATCCACTCCGGTTAAACTAGAGTGGGGTGAGTCAATGTAGTGCTCAACCACGCAAATGCTTGCTGTAGGTTGTAGGTCACCAGTAGGTGTAGCGCAGTCCAGATCTGGACCCAGACTGGTCTGTACAGAGGAAACGCACAGACCAATCACTTACATCGTAACTCATCCCACACGATGCTGCTCAACCAATCAAATCGTTTATTCAGAGCATTTGCGAAAACAGAAAACTCTGCCAGGAGGCGCGATAAATCGAGGAAACGGGAGGAAGAAGTTGTGAAGCTGAGATGGTTTACGCGTGAAAGAAACTCAAACTAGACCTTTTTTTTTTTTTTCAAATGGCGTCAATTTATTTTTTAATGTAAACTTTATTTAACTTGAAATGATAAATATTTTATTATCGGCAGACCCTCGAGGTCATTGTGATAATTAATAATAAATAGTGTTGAACTCGTCTTAATTTTACTTTTCTAACTGGACCTCCTTAAGTTTGAGCTGAAGGCTCCTGCCAAAGATGAAGTAAAAGCTGAAAAGTGGAAACCTTTAGGGAAAAGTGTTTAAAGGCCAGCAGGGGCGGTAGTAAAAGACTTTGGTCCTGTGTGACACTAATGACCTGTGGACCTTTTTGGTGTCTGAATTGGATCATGTGAATAAGAGCAAAGTCACAAAAGCCTTGATTGTGTTTATGACTCTTATTTTCCTCTCGCACCCCACCTGTTGCTAGGGGGGGGAAAAATCCTGCGTTCCCTGATCAGCTGGCAAAATCGCTTATAGTGTTGCTCTGCAGTCTGATTTGTTACTCTTCGAGCTTCAGTGAAACTAAAGTGCAAAACAAGCAGGAAGTGGGACCCTTTTCCCATCAAAATAAAAGTTGTGCCTTTTACAACGTGCCGGTCCGCTTTTGTGCAAGACGTGTTATGAACTGCTCTGAAGTGATGCGCGACAGGCTGTCTCATTGCTGCTTTGATCGATGTCGGCATCAGCTGAGTGTGAGCGAAAAGATGTGTGGGGTGTTTAGCTTTATTTGTTTTTTGCACGCCACACAAGAAACTTTAATAAGTGCCTACATTTGTGTTCGTTTTTTAAAAGAAATAAACCCAGGACAGAAGTTGGCAGCAGAACTGTAAATTCTGACTTTTAATTAAGTTTCTCCTGATTAAGCGACTCCACTCTGCTTCCTCTCAGGGCCAGGAAATCTAACGTCTCCTATAAGAACGTGTCTCAGATGCCCAGAGAAAAGGACATCCGGGACATGAAGATCTTCATCGACAAGAAGTATGAGACTGTCGTCATGCCTGTCTTTGGCATCGCCACACCATTTCACATCGCCACCATCAAGGTACTCTTAGCTTATGCCTTCTATGGGAGGGGGGTCTACCACAACTACATCCAAACCAGTTGCACTTACGTACACCAAGAGTCTGTGTTACCTTTTTGGTTTTAATTACAGACATTTGTCTTGCGTTTGTGCCTTTTAGAACATCAGTATGTCTGTAGAAGGAGACTACACCTACCTGAGGATCAACTTCTACGTCCCTGGCAGCTCACTGGGCCGACAGGAGGGAAACATCTTCCCCAACCCTGAAGCCACATTCGTCAAAGAAATGTGAGTCTGTCCAGCTCTTTCTATCAGCATGCGTGTAGATTTCTCTGCTCGCACCTTGGCAGGTCACTGTGTGTGTTTGTTGTGCTGCAGTGTTTGAAGGAGCAGATGTTCCAATAATCCTTTTCTTTCCCTCGCTCGCCTCTCAGCACGTACCGGGCGTCCAACCTGAAGGCTCCCGGCGACACATCGGTGCCCTCCACCAACCTGCAGAACGCCTTCCGCATCATCAAGGAGGTGCAGAAGCGCTACAAAACACGAGAGGCCGAAGAGAAGGAGAAGGAGGGCATCGTCAAGCAAGACTCGCTGGTCATCAACCTCAACCGCAGCAACCCCAAACTCAAAGACCTCTACATCAGACCCAACATCGCACAGAAGAGGATGCAGGGCTCGCTGGAGGCTCATACTAATGGTGAGGACAGCAGTCAGTGGGAATGCTGGGAAACGAGGATGCCCAAATCTCGGAAATGTTGTCGTTAAAACTGTGAATCTCTCTCTCTCTCTCCCCCTCCCCTCCTTCCCCTGTGCAGGTTTCCGTTTCACGTCGGTCCGAGGTGACAAAGTGGACATTCTTTACAACAACATCAAACACGCCATCTTCCAGCCGTGTGACGGTGAGATGATCATCGTACTGCACTTCCACCTCAAGGTATGCTTATTCAAAAATACACCCTTAAAATATCTGGAGACTTCACTTTCATCTGTGGTTAGGGCAACGCTCGATCATCACAGGGGCAGCAGGTGTCCGCAGAGCTCTCTGCTCAGACCTGCTGACTGAGTTTTCTTTAGTTTTTGTTTTTGTCCTTATCACTGATGGCAGCACGAGACTGTAGCAACAACTATGCTAGGAGGTCTGTTTTCCTCTCCTGTCAGTTTGATTTGCACCAAAGCAACTGAAGTGTATTGACAGCGCTCCCTGCTTCCTCACTCGACAGACTGAACTTTCACAGACTTTGTTCCACGCTGTGATGGTCATGTGCTCCTTTAATTTATTTTAACATTGTGTGTGTATATAAGTATATTTGTGTAAAATCAATATTACAAACCCAAACGCTCAGTGATGTAATATCATCAGAGCTTAGAGTTGAGCTGTGATGAAAAATAAAATGGTTTACAGTGTCAGGTTAGTTGTTGGAGCTTGGAAAGAAAAGCGTCTGAACTTAAGTTGCTTGAAGATATTTCAGCTCTCATCCGAGAAGCTTCTTCAGTTTAGGGTCAAATGGTGGAGAGTCCCAGATTTGAGCCCTGTGGGAGTGTTGCTGATGTTAATTTCACCTCTTATGAAGGAGTTTAACTTTTTGAGACCTGCAGTAACTATGGTGGCCCTAAGAGGGTAAACACACTGCAAAAAACATGCAGAGCACAACAAAAAAAAAAACGGAAAACAAAATGTTGGCAAAGCTCCCCAAAAAATTGCAAACAAAAGAGAACTGAAGTGATTTAGATGGATACAATAAAAAGATGGAACAGCTGTGGTGAACTACTGAGGGCAAACATGCATCTACAGTCATTTATGACTAATGCGATTGAAACACATGGTTCTTCAACATAGAAATGTGTGTTTTGTGAGCTTTTGCAGCATTATTTATTTATTTATTTACTTTTATTTGCTGATATTTTTTTAAGTTGCAGTATTTTGCAGAGACTTAACACTTTGCAATAAAAAAAGAGGCTCGTAAAAGTCTGGCATTTTTGAGATTGCGCTTAATTGATCTTTTATTGTATTAGGCCTCAGTCGCACAGGCCTAGACACCGGTCAGTGACCCCCCCCCCCCTTTGGTTCAGAGTAGCTGAAGGCGGGCTTGTTCCCTTTCATCTGAGCAGGGTTAGGGGACTCCACCCCCACATTCCCCTTTATAACCTTGAGCACTCTGCTGGGTGGAGCTTCATATTAACTCTATCTATAATATATAATATAACTCTATTAACTCTAAATAAGTGTCTCAGTGATCTATAACTCTTCAGTGTGTTCACTCATCGGCTGTCTCTCATTGTTTTTAAGCGATTCCCTTTAAATATTCTGAAAATGGTCTAAAAACTGTTGCGTTTCTCTCCAGAACGCCATCATGTTTGGTAAGAGACGCCACACGGACGTCCAGTTCTACACAGAGGTGGGCGAGATCACCACAGACTTGGGCAAACACCAACACATGCACGACCGAGACGACCTGTACGCCGAGCAGATGGAGCGTGAGATGAGGCACAAGCTCAAGTCGGCCTTCAAGAACTTCATCGAGAAGGTGGAGACGTTGACTAAAGAGGAGTTGGAGTTCGAGGTGCCCTTCAGAGACCTGGGGTGAGTAAACGAGGCCGTCGGGAACGCAAACGTGCGAGGACAATGTGGACACCCCTGTGAGCTCGTGGCCCATGCTTCTTTTGTTTACAGGTTCCAGGGCGCCCCCTACAGGAGTACCTGCCTGCTACAACCCACGTCCAGTTCTCTTGTCAATGTTACTGAATGGGTGAGTGAGCAGCTGGCACTGAGCTGCAGACGGTTCAAAGGTTTAATCTGTGAAGAAGAAAGCTGAAATGTGTGCAGTGAGCTGCCGGCAGTTCAGTCTGTTAAAAATCTGTTTCCTCCGTCTGCAGCCGCCGTTTGTAGTTACTCTAGACGAGGTGGAGCTGGTTCACTTTGAGCGCGTGCAGTTCCACCTGAAGAACTTTGACGTGGTCATCGTTTACAAGGACTACAACAAGAAGGTCACCATGATCAACGCTGTGCCCGTGAACTCCCTTGACCCTATCAAAGAGTGGCTCAAGTAAGGCCAGTCGATTTAATCAGTGACTTAATTTTTAATGCATCTAAAAAAATATCTCAGATGAATTATTAATACTTTTTTCTCTTCTCCGTTTTCTCCTTTTTAGCTCTTGTGACATCAAGTACACAGAGGGCGTCCAGTCTCTGAACTGGACCAAGATCATGAAGACCATCGTTGACGACCCAGAGGGGTTCTTCGAGCAGGGGGGCTGGTCTTTCTTGGATCCAGAGAGTGAGGTGAGTTCATGGTTTCATAACCTAAGCAGACATTTACAGTTTTAAAATGGTCCATGTTCCCAGTTTTTCCTTTCAATAACTCCTTTCACGTCGTAACACAGTGCTGAGAATAAAATAGCGACTAGTTTTGTGATTACACGCCTCTCTGCGTGCCATGTTTTGCCTCAGGGAAGCGGCGCCGAGGAAGATTCAGAGTCAGAAATGGAGGATGAGACGTTCAACCCATCTGCAGATGAAGAAGAAGAGGAAGAGGAAGACAGTGATGAGGATTACAGCTCAGAGACGGAGGACTCTGGTATGATTTCCATGGGCCAGTTTGAACCTCTAATGAATGAAAAGCTTGAGAAAATGATTTGTACCCGAGCAGCTCTTTGCCTTGAACTCACACTTGTACACACTGATGAACCAGATTTTCTTTTTTTGGGTGTGTGATACAGATTACAGCGCGTCAATGGGCAGTGAGGAGGAGAGCGGGAAAGACTGGGATGAACTGGAGGAAGAAGCCAGGAAAGGTTTGTATTTGTAGACTCTGGTTTTTCAAAACTTGCACTTGCAGAGCGTTCAGGGCTCGCTGTCAGTGTCCACATACTCAAAATAAACCTGGCATCAGCCACTAGAGGGCACCAAATGCACACAAACCCCACAGTACTCATCTGAAAGCAAACTTTTCACATCTGCAGCACCTAACTGTCATGTGACTGAATACAAACGGTCTCTTCAGGAATCACAGATTTAAATATGGCTGTTAACTCACTTCAATAGTCACACCTTTTTAGTTGGCCATTGGCTACTTAAATATTTCTGTTAATCGCATGGCAGCAACTCAATGCAATCAGGCGTGAACACTACCTGCCGAAATTCAGACTGAGCATCAGAATGAGGAAGAAAAGTGTTTAAAAGTGTTTGTTGTTTCCCACGTAAATATCTCTGGAGTTTACAGAGAATTATATAAAAAAATAAAATAAAATATCCAGTGAGCGGCAGTTCTCTGAGAGAAACTGCCTTGTTGATCACAGACTGCTTGAAGGCTGCAGACGTTATGCAGACGAGCATCTCTGAACGCACATGTTGGGATGTGGTGGAGGAATCTGCAGTATCAGCCACGAGGGTTGATCCCAGCACAGGGCTGTTTCATGGTTGTTTCTGTTTCCTCCCCTGCAGCTGACAGAGAGAGCCACTATGAGGACGAGGACACCTCCAACAGGAAGAGGAAGGTGCGGCCATCAGCCCCGCCGAGCAAGAAGAAGCGACGGCACTAAACGTCCCAAACATCCATTCATACTGCCAAACCCGACCCTCCCTCCCACCACGGCCGGCTCCCCACACTTCACACAGACACACACCTGCGCTCAGACACACACCGTGTACATAGACGTAGACACCGCCCCCTTTGTTTATTTTTTAGTTGTTGTCGGTGAAGTGTCATGTTGCAGAACCAGCAGGACAGCCACACTTCATTCATTACCTTCGTTTTCCCACCTTCGTTCATCCATCCATCAGGGTTTATTGTCTGTGTGTGTGTGTCTGCGAGTGCGTGCGAGTGTGGTTAAATGGGTTTTTATTGCAAGCATTGTTTATTTTCTGTTAAAGAAAGCTGAGTTTCTTAACTAATGGATAATAAATAAAAAGACTTGACATCTCCTCTGCCAAGTGTTTTATATAAACTGAGAAATCTGATTTTTTTTTTTTTTTTTCCTCTCGTCTTCCCCACCGTGTCCACTTTTTTTTCCCCTCTTATTTTTGTCAATGTTTGTTAAATTGTGGTAATAAGATGGGGGAAATGTCCTTTATTTTTTAGGGATGGGAGGGGGCAGATGCACGTTTTCTAATTATTTTATCTTTTTTTTTTTTAAAGTGGGATTTATAAATGGATTTGGACACAGACACACTTCACCCTCGCACTTATCCTCCTCTCTGTCCCCTCCTTTTTTTCTTTTTTTTTTTTTGTTCAGTCTGAGTAGATATGATGTTGTACTGTTAATTCTGAAAATCCTGTTTTTGTTTTTGTAATAAAATTAAAAGGAACTGTAGTTTGTTTTCACTCTTCTCTCTTTCACACACTTTCAGTTTTGCAGATTAGTCATTGTGTACTTACTGCCGGTGTCGTAGACCACTGCCTCTTTTCAGTCGTGGGCTAAGAGCAGTGCTCTTGAGCATTAGTTCTCCAGGCTTCTGGAGGGACATATGCTGCTTTTATAAACTCATTTTCACTCCAGTCCTTATACCCGACCGTTTTCAGAGATGTTTCTTAAGCCACTTAAGAAAACGCTGACCTGTGAGTTATTCAAACACAAGAACTAGCCTAACTCAAAGGGTGAACAAGTGTTTCCTACGTGAGAGACGACTTCACAGAGAACCATTTTTTAAAAATTGTATCTTTAGTCATTTAGTTACTAGCAGCCTGATGTAAATATGTGATTTGTTCCCATTTCATGTTGTTTTATGTGAAAAATACCAAAGAACAGTTTGATAGACAAAATAGCGATTTTTTTTTTTTTTTTTTTTTTTCTTCTTTAGTGGTTCTTAATGAACTGTTGGCTAAACACTTGGCATATCTCTGCACGAGGCACAGTGTGTTTTTAATAAAATAGGTAGTGGAAGTGGCTCTCCTGCTACTGAATCTTTGTACGTGCCTTAAAAAAGTATTTATACCCCTTGAGCTTTTACACATTTTGTCACTTAAGTGTTTGTTGAGATTTTCTGTGATAGACCAACACAAAGTAGCACATGATTGTGAAGAGGTACAAAAATGATACATGGGTTTTCTAAATTTTAAGCAAATCAAAATCTGAAAAGTGTGCATTTATATTCAGCCGCCTGTACTTTGGTACATCTAAATAAAACCCAGTGCAATCAGTTGCCTTCAGAAGTCACCAAATTAGATAATAGAGTTCACCTGTGTGTAATTTAGTCTCATAAATACACCTGCTCAGTTATTTTTATTTTTATTTTTTATTTTTTTTTCTAAGAATTCTAGAAATGGTTGCCAAATCATAAAAAAACTCGCCAGTTTCCCCTCTCTATCAAATCTTATCTGCTCCACCCTGGCCACAGACACCATCTCATTAAGCCACCT